CATGTTCACGTGTTTCAACAGTCAGTATCTTACCTGTTGTAGACAGCCCTTTGAGCAACTTATTTTAGAAAAATTGAGCTTGACTGTGAGCAGACCAATGAGCTAATGGCTAGTTTCAGCAACACCAAGACCAAAGTGGTCTGCTGCCATCTTAAACTAACTCCCATTTTAAATATTTTGCAGCAGGTTGAGCAAATTATTTTAAAATTTAATATTTATTTTAACTCATAAATCACAATTTTCTTGCAGGAAATAGCTGTCTGCACTGGAAGTGCTACATCTAGCTGCTCCTGTCACTGTGCCTGCAAATAACCAGCTAACAGCAAGGCAAAGTTTTTTTTAAATAGCATTAGCTTAAACCACATGTCAAACTCAAGGTTCGTGGGCCAAATTTGGCCCTTGTTAACATTTTATCTGGCCCCCAAGAAGATTTTAAAAAGTAAAATATTTTTATCTTGTCTCATACTACTTAAAAAACATATAAATGCTTAATTTAGTGCAAACTTCTCTTGCCCAATGGCTAAGTGAAATGTTTTTGACGAAAAACGGTTGGGTCATTCTGTCATTGTTGATTTGATGTGGAGGGAGCAACAGAGAACATTGACCGAGACAGATCAAGCTCTTGTTGATTAACCTGCAAGCCATAAAGAATGTTGTCCCTTGTAATTATGAACCCTCCCAACTTAAACCCTGTTCATTCTTTGAGACTGAAGTTCTTTTAGGATGAAAACAATCCTGTTTAACTCGTTTCTTCAAGCTGACGTCGTCGTCCTACTTTTAAGAACATGGAAACACAAACACTACAAGTGCAACAAACAGAGTAGGTTATGGGAAACTAGTTATTGGCTAACATCTGTTGGTTCAGCACAGATGTGTCTGTCTGTGGGTGACGAGAAGGAAATAAACATGGACATAAACATGGCTTTATCTCCATGAGTGATTCTGAAGCTCAGAGGAAGTGTGGAGTTTTGGGGTTGGGTTTGTTTTGGAGGAAAAACAACTAGAATTTGCTTTTTCTCCTCAAGTGGATAATTTCACTTCCTCCACGGCAATTTTATTTTTGTTTTCCAGACTGCATCGGGCTGAATCCGCAGACGTACAGTTCTGCTCTGAGAAATGATGACTACAAGAACTTAACTCTCCAGTTTCACAAGTTAGATGCAGTTTTTTTTTTTGAATTACAAAAAATATGACTTGTTTTCTTTTAAAGCCGCTCACATCGTCAGAATATTTTGGTGGTGTTTTCCATCTACAGGCTGATCAACGTCACAGTCGACTTCCAGCTGAAGGCCATCAACATTCAGACGGTCATAAACAATGAAATCCCTGACTGCTACACCTTCGCTATCACTGTGAGCTGACTGACCATACAAAAACTGTGTGTGTGTGCATCTTTGGAGTTTATTTTTTATTTAACCTTTATTTATACAGATAATCACATTGAGCCTCGATGACTCCTTTACAAGTGAGGCTTGTTTAGACAGACAAAAAACTAATTAAAGTGACGTGTTTAGGATTTGGAATAAAAACAATTCCTAACAGACTCCTTGACCAAGGAGAGATAGCTTGAAATTGAAAAAAAAAACCACCCCGCACATAAGCACATAGTGACGCAGACATTCTGCAGCAGAGTGGAGATGACAAGGGCAGTGAGTGTGTCCAAGGACACTCCAGAGGCACTGTAGGAGTTCTGATGAGAATGGTATAATCAACCAGTTCCCTCTGGTGAGATCCGTAAACACTCTCAGGGGTGTCAAAATCAACCTAGGACAGTGCCAGAGAGAATCCAAGAGTCCTGAAATGATGATACAATGTTTATTCATCCGGGTCCCTCTCATAGGTCCGTAGACTTCCTCGGTGGGAGATGGGAGGGGTCAAAGTATTGAGATTTACAGGGCCTCCAGGCGAATTGAGATAAGGCCAGCCGGGGAGCCGAATTCAGATAAACGCTTGTTTTGGGGACAGGCAGAACTTTACTGATTTATGTCTGCCTCGAGTCTTTACTGGTCCTCACAGAGATCCTGAAACGTCCAAATGAAGTGGGCACTTGGCTGGTCCGTGCCTGAGAGTATTCCCCAACATCTGGTCCGTCCTGCCAGCGAATCACATCCAGTTTGCAGTTCAGCTTGCAAAGCAAAGAGTTAACCCAATCCAAGATTAAAGATTATATCTTAATGGTTAAATGCTTAATTTGAGAGGATTAAACGTGGTTACACATTTTTCTGCATGTGTTTGTTAATGCCAATTCAGCATTTGCACTATTATCCTGGTTTTTTTAATGTATATATTTTGGCTTCTATTTACCGCTGCATATTTTGTGCTATTTAAACCTTTCCTATATTAAAACGTTTAGCTCGTTCAGGGGATCAGTGCTATTACTTTTAGTTTTTGTAACATTTATACGTTTTTAAAATATTTCAGCAGTATTTCCATAATAAACTCTCTATTAAAATACGTTCAGATCTTTTCAAATCCCTTGAAATTTACTTCACCAAGCTAGTGCTAATGCTAATTCTGCTACGGCTAGCTGATAAATGCAATTAGTCTAAACAGTGTTCATATCTATTGGTTTCAGCTGTGCTCTGCAGTCATTGTGACACCCGGCAACACTGTACGTTGAAAACTAATAAAACAAATTTACAATCGAACTAATATACATCTGTCTGCACACGTCAACAACAAACAGACGTAAAAGATCAAGACTGGAGTAACACCAACTTTGAGTACTGGAAATATATGTAAATGTATTTTAACATGTAATGCTTAATTTTACATTTTTTAAAAGGTCAACAAATTCTAAATCTACTAATGCTAATTTTACTTCTTCTAATTGTACTTATGCTAGTACTACCACTGCTAATGCAAAATGTATTCATGCTAACGCCAGTTCTATTCATACTAATGAGCTTGGTTCTGCTAAAGGTTTCTTCCTCACAAGGGAGTTTTTCCTTTCCACTGTCGCCTTCATGCTCAAGATGAGAGTCTGCAGTGAAGTTAAACTCAAAGCAGTCTGCTCCTCAGATAAATAATGTTTACTTGTTTTTTATATAAATGAATGTTTCTGTTCAGTGCCCTGAGATGATTCTGCTGTGATTTGGCTCTATATAAATCATCTGAATTGAATTAAACTGAACTAATACTAATACAAGAGATGTCCCGATACGAGTTCATCAGATTGAGTACAGTAGTTCTTCGCTACTTGGCGGTTCGACTTTCGCGGACTTGCTCTGTCGCGGTTTTTCAAATTAAGATTGGACATGACACACAATTGGCTGATTGCTGCACTATCGACATGGAATTTTTATTTAAAATAATTATTTTGAATTATTTAACATCTGCTGCACCTGTGTGCAGCCCACAGCAGGTGCAGGGAGAAGTTCCCGCCTGCAGCATTCATTCATTCATTCAACCTTTCTTTAAACAGCTAAATCACATTGAGCCTCAAAGACTCATTTACAAGTGAGACCTGTTTGGACAGACAATGAAGTGATGAAAGTGACAACATGGGTTTTTGGAGGCAAACAAATTCCTAACATGCTCTTAATCTTTGGCTGAAGATTAAGAGCATGAAAATGAAAAAAAACCTCTCACACAAGCACATAATGACGCCGACATTCCACGGGGGGGCGGGGGATGCAAGGGCGGTGAGCATGTCCAGAGACACTCGCAGAGGCACTGCAAGAGTTCAGATAAGAGTGATAAATCGCTCGAGTTCACATAATTCCCTCTGGAGATACCTGTAAACTCTCAGTGGGTGCAGAGGTCGGCCAAGGACGACGTAAGATAGAATCCAAAGAGTCCTGAAATGATGACAGAATGCTTATTCAGCCGGGCCCTTCTGATTGGTCCGTAGACTTCCTCGATGGGAGACGGGGGGAGGGGCAGAGCATCATGGTTTACAGAGCTTTCACGTGATTTAAGATACGATGACCTGTCAAGACCAGTCAGGGAGCCGAATTCAGATAAACACAATTGTTTTGGGGACAGACAGAATTTTGATTATGTCTACCATGAGTCTATGTTGGCCATTTCGGTTCCGAAATATCCAAATTGAGTGGCCACACAACTGGTCCATGCCTGAGAATGTTCTCCGAGATCTGATCCATCCTGCAAAAGTTAGCAATAGAGTCTGGGCACTCGAGGCATGAACCAAACCATCATATAAGGCAGGCAGCCTGACCAGGGCCAAATTTGCTGCCGACGACTTCCTTGTTTGTTGCTATACCAGGAACCAGCCAAATCCAAAAAGCAGGAAACCAGTTATCATAAATCCAATTTTATATATATACGCCCTTAACATCCACGATTGACAGCAGAAAAAGGCACATCATCAAGTCTTCCAAGTCGATGAAGTATCCAGCTGCGTGCGTGCCATCAGGGCAAATCAGATTACCTAAAGCTTGTCTTCTCTTCGAAGAAATGTTACCAATTGCATTGAGGGACCAACTGACCAAATTCAAATCCATAAATTATGATTCGGAAGATTTGTAAAAGAGAGGCTCTAAAGCAGATTCACAGACAGGACAGAGCAAAGCGAAGCAGAGAGGGAGAGGAGGGGAAGCAGAGAGGGAGAGGAGAGGAAAGGCGTCCGCCCTTGCAAGAGCGAGTGTTGAAGTGATGTGATGATCTCCGCTCTCTGCCACCTGCCAGCGATTGCAGCGGAGAAGTGGGCATGGCCAAGAGCACTGGAAGGTGGCAGAGAGCTGAGATTATGTCATGCTGTGCTCTTTTAGAGTGTTTAGCATTTAGAAACATTGTTTAGAATATTGCAAGAGTGTGGGAAGGGTTTAAAATGGGGAAGGGAGGGTTGAGGAGACAGACAAAGCATCCTTGTTTTTTCTAAACATGCCAGGAGGAGTTGACATAAGTCCGGCATCAAGGCCACAGTTTTGGGTCAGGCAGAACTCGTGAATTGCTCTTTCTTCCTTTTAAAGCCTCGCTGGTATTTTCCTCTGATGGAAACTCCAAAACAGCCGAATTGATTCCTTAAAGCCGAGCTCACAGCTTCTCCAAGAATATTCCCACTTTCTTGTGTGCTGCTAGAGAGTTCACAGTCCTGATAACAGCTCTCTGACACAGCTGTGCATAATGCAGTCTGAGCGCTGCCGAGCTTCGACACATCCACATGAATGGATAGACAATCCAGATTTCACCAACAAAACAGCAAAAAAACTGTTGTCATCATGAATCCAATTCGTTTCTGTCGAGGTCAGAGGGTCCTCCTTACCCTGTCTCCTGTCGGGAGAAGTTGATCAATTTGTTGAGAGACCAGCTGATCCTTCGAATTAGGATGTATGCAGAACAAAAAGAGACTCTTTAAGGGTTCACAGGACGAAAGGGGGGGGGGGGGTATGGAGCGCTGGGAAAACACGTCTGACTTTACCGGAGTACAGGGAGAAAAAAAAACAACTTGTACTAATTGTTCCTACTTCGTAGTTTTAGTACTTCAGTTAGTACTTAAACATGGACAGTTTTTATGTTTTGTCATCGGTAACTTGCAAAGCGGAAGAGCAAATGACTTCACCAAGTATTAAAGTGGTATCAGGGTGTTTTTATGAATACAAGTACGAGTATATGATGCAGGTATCGGGTCCCAATACTGATATTGGTGTCCATATTGGGACACCTCATTAAATACAGTACTGCTAATGATAATTCTACAAATTACAATTCTAGTTAAACTCAACTGACTTTTTTCCACTTAACATTATCTAGCATTTTGTTACTTTTAACAAACATTTTGCTTTTTTTAGTGACTACAATTTTACAGTTCTTTAGCTAGCGTATTCCTTCTTTTAGTTTTTGTCATTACGGTAGCGTTTTGATTGTTTTAGCTCTTTGCTAGTGTTTTACTCAGTTTGAGCTTCAGTAAATTTCAGGAAAGTCACGCAGAACTCAGCATTCAGGCTGTATTGTCTCCAGTTTGACCTGGTTTTTGTTTGCGTGTTCAGATCGTCATGGACAACAAGGCGCATAGCGGCAAAGTTAAGATCAGCCTCCAGAACCAGGCCTCCATAAAAGAGTGTAAAGATCCCAACGTGTCGGGGCACGGTGAGTGAGTGGACAGGTTGTAAATATTGTGTCACTTTTATAACTCCTTTTGATTTTAGTCACCTCTGTTCTCTTCTGTCAGCTGAAAGCTACGCTCTGGAGTTCTTCGACGTTTTGGTGATGATCGTTTGCCTGCTGTCGTTGCTGCTCTGTGGCCGCTCCATCCTCAGAGGAATCCTCCTGCAGGACGTAAGACAACAGGACAAACACTTTCTTTAACTTGTTTTCACCCCGAAACAAAAGCTGTTCTCTATAAATTTTTTAATCATTAAAAAATGTTTGCAACATCAAAACAAATGGAACTTATAAATAAATAAATAAAACTTTCCACAAACACAATACTGATGAACCTTAAACATGGCGTACAATTGATCATGGCTTCTCATGCAAGAGCCTTTCAAGTCCCGTATTTTCTGCCGTACAAGTCGCATCAGTCCAAAAATGTCTAATAAAGTGGATAAAACATAAATAAGTCGCTTTGCTGTATATGGCGCATCTATTATGCGTCACCGCTGACGAGTCGCGTTTGTTACGCGTCACCGTTAACAACCTGGAAACGTGGGCCGGTGTTGTGCCAAACTTCGATTGGCTAACAAAATGGCAGCTGCAAGAGCGTGCACGGGAGGTCTTGAACAAGAATTGAACAAGAATAACACTTAAAAACAATTATTTGTTTGCTCGAAATTATAGCAAAGGTGTGTCTCAGTCTAACTTTTTTTTAATAAATGCACTTTGACAGTCAAATCAGCTGCATTTAAAAAAAAACTGAGGGAGGACTCGCTGTGCATTTCATCGAAATTTAACAAGTTAACCACCTAAAAACAATTATTTGTTTGCTCGACATTATAGTAAAGGTGTGTCTTAGTTGAACTTTTCCTTAATATATGCACTTTAATGGTCAAATCAGCTGCATTTCGCTGGGGTGGTGCAGCAAAATGCAGCTGATTTGACGTTTGCTCCAGGAGTTCCTGAGCAAAACAAATGTAGCTGCTATGGCAAGCCAAGTGTCTCATTAATTCCCACTTTTACCTATTAATGAGACATTTGGCTTGCCATAAGACTCGACGGCCCTCTATTGGCCACAAATGGTTATGTTTAATCAACAAAGTCCATGCTCAATAATCCAGGTATACAACCCATCAATTTTCAGTCAGGTCATCTGGACAGTTTCTTTTTTGTGCTGAAATGTTTTACCTTCTATCCAGATGGCTTCATCAGTCAAGGAAACACATAACACAAAACTGATTCTTCCTCCAACAGCTTACTCCAAAGTGGAACAAACCAGTTATGTTGGTGCTAAGATGGTGTCTTTGGCACACCCCCTCCTCCAGTGCCAGCCCTCTCCCTCGTCGACAGTCATGTCAAACTGGTTCAAAACCAACAAAGTCCATGCTCAGCTCAAAAAAAGAAAATGTCCAGATGACCTGAATGAAAATTGTTGGGCAATGTTTAATATTTTCATGTCAGAATGAATGAAATGGTCAAATTTCAACCAAAAATTGGGTTATAAATATGGGGAAAATACGTATATTAGTCGCTTCAGTGTATAAGTCGCAGGACTTGCAAATTTATTAAAAAAGATGCAACTTATATGGCGAAAAATATGGTAAACGGCAAAAGTAAAGTACATTCTCTTTCAGTTCTTGAGTTTATGTATCAAGACATAACAAAACTGATCTTGTCTTAAGCAGGTTATAAAATCATTCAACTCTAATCTTGTGTACAAAAAACACTGATCAGATTCCATCGTGTCATTTATTCAACAAAAATAAAGGTGAAATGGAAAATCTGTGTGGAAAAATAACAAGTCCACTTTATGATTCAACCTCAGAATTACCAGCACTAATTTCTAGCTGTGGATTTCTGTAGAATTGTATCAATCTCTTACATGTTGTAATTAATTGTCAATCTACATACGGTGCCTTGCGAAAGTATTCGGCCCCCTTGAACTTTTCAACCTTTTGCCACATTTCAGGCTTCAAACATAAAGATATAAAATTTTAATTTTTTGTGAAGAATCAACAACAAGTGGGTCACAATCGTGAAGTGGAATGAAATTTATTGGATGTGTCAAACTTTTATAATAAATAAAAAACTGAAAAGTGGGGCGTGCAATATTATTGGGCCCCCTTGCGTTAATACTTTGTAGCTCCGCCTTTTGCTGCAGTTCCAGCTGCAAGTCTCTTGGGGTTTGTCTCTATCAGTTTTGAACATGGAGACACTGAAATTCTGCCCATTCTTCCTGCAAAACAGCTCGAGCTCAGTGAGTTTGGATGGAGAGCGTTTGTGAACAGCAGTCTTCAGCTCTTTCCACAGATTCTCAATTGGATTCAGTTCTGGACTTTGACTTGTCCGTTCCAAAACCTGGATACGTTTATTTGTGAACCATTCCATTGTAGATGTGTCTTTATGTTTTGGATCATTGTCTTGTTGGAAGATAAATCTCTGTCCCAGTCTCAGGTCTCTTGCAGACTCAAACAGGTTTTCTTCCAGACTGGTCCTGTATTTGGACCCATCCATCTTCCCATCAATTCTGACCATCTTCCCTGTCCCTGCTGACGAAAAGCAGGCCCAAACCATGATGCTGCCACCACCATGTTTGACAGTGGGGACGGTGTGTTCAGGGTGATGAGCTGTGTTGCTTTTACACCAAACATATTGTTTTGCATTGTGGCCAAACAGTTTGATTTTGGTTTCATGTGTCCAGAGCACCTTCTTCCACATGTTTGGTGTGTCTCCCAGGTGCTTGTGACAAACTTTAAACAACATTTTTATGGATATTTTTGAGAAATGGCTTTCTTCTTGCCACTCTTCCATAAAGGCCAGATTTGTGCAGTGTACGACTGATTGTTGTCCTGTGGACAGACTCTCCCACCTCAGCTGTAGATCTCTGCAGTTCCTCCAGAGTGATCATGGGCCTCTTGGCTGCATCTCTGATCAGTCTTCTCCTTGTTCCAGATGAAAGTTTAGAGGGACGGCCGGGTCTTGGTAGATTTGCAGTGGTCTGCTACTCCTTCCATTTCAATATGATTGCTTGCACAGTGCTCCTTGGGAAGTTTAAAGCTTGGGAAATCTTTTTGTATCCAAATCCGGCTTTAAACTTCTCCACAACAGTATCTCTGACCTGCCTGGTGTGTTCCTTGGTCTTCATGATGCTCTCTGTGCTTTGAACAGAACCCTGAGACTATCACAGAGCAGGTGCATTTATACGGAGACTTGATTACACACAGGTGGATTCTATTTATCATCATCAGTCATTTGGGACAACATTGGATCATTCATAGATCCTCACTGAACTTCTGGAGTGAGTTTGCTGCACTGAAAGTAAAGGGGACGAATAATATTGCACGCCCCACTTTTCAGTTTTTTATTTGTTAAAAAAGTTTGACCCATCCAATAAATTTCATTCCACTTCATGATTGTGTCCCACTTGTTACTGATTCTTCACAAAAAATTAAAATTTTATATCTTTATGTTTGAAGCCTGAAATGTGGCAAAAGGTTGAAAAGTTCAAGGGGGACAAATACTTTCTCAAGGCACTGTGTGTGTGTCTTATCTCACTCAGCCTTATGTAGATGAACAGATGCTGGGATATATTCATCATTTAACGCGAGTTCCTCATTTTTCTGGACTGAATAAAACGTGCATTGAATTTAAGGAAATGCAAACGTGAGACGTCATTTAAATTTGACCCATCAAAATGAATGCGGTCATTTATTTACAGAATCAAATTTAACATCAAACATTTACATTAATTTGGCACATTATGAAAATAACAACATAAGCAATCAATCAGGAAAAATCATACGGCCATGATTTTTCCGTTGCTGCACCACAGACATTTATAAAACTGTACAACTATGATCTTTTGCCCACATGAATGTGGGTGAGCATTTTACACAGACATTTCTAAATATCTGGGAGAATTTCTACTTGATAGAAAAGTTTAAGATGAAAGATGAAGTTTAAAGGGGAGAAAGATGGTGTTTGAGGTAGAGTGTTGAACAGAACGGCACTCTCCGGGCTTTCTTCAGCTTTTCCTCACAGTACACTTAGGTGGTGAAAACGACTCTTTTACCTGGAGATGTCTCAGGCGAGATTCCGTTTAACGCACCCTTTCAGCGTCTCCGTAGGATGCTGTTACTCGTCCGGAGTAGCGGCGAGATTCTGTCCGCCACAGCTCACCTCAGTGGAAATGTTATAATCCCATGAACTCGGAAGAGCTTCGTTGTCATGTCAGGAACTCCAACAGCACTCCATCAGAACTTTAGCTCTCGTGTAGTTTACAGAACTCCCACAGAACTCTTGAAGTCTGACAACTCTCCAACTCTGTAACTCCGTGAGTCTCTGAGTCTCTGTGAGTCTGTGTAGACCAGGAAGTACTGACATTTTAAAGGCTCTTTCCCGGTTCACTTTTTGGGATTTTTCATTGGTCAGAAACGACCAGAAGGGGTGTGTTTTTGTGACGTAAGGGGTTAGAGACAGCGAGAATTGTTATGAGACAGCTCAGAAATGTTCTCACAGACCGAGAGGGTTCTGTTTTGGCGTGCCTAAGACACAGGTGCAAAACATCTCTATTTACGTCTGAGAGGATTCTAAAACATGACAGTTTTAACATAACAACTTGTTTTTCGTTTGACTGTAACCTTGTAAACGCACACACTTGCTCATTCAAAAGCAGAAATCAGAAAAATGCATAAACTCTGCACAGCTTTTAACATGAGAATAAAATCATTACTCAGTTAATAAAATTGATTAGTTCACTGCAACATCTAAAATGGTTTGAACTAAGACACTTTGATTATCAACATTTGTAAGATAGTAATGATAATAAAAAGAGAGTGTTCTTTTCACTTGAATCTTCAAGAAAGAAAGTCTCAGGATGGGTGAACCTGTATTTATGGAGTCAAATACATGAAATGACAGCTTCTGTCCCACAAGGTTCTAAAGGTCAAGAGTTTTGACCTTAGACTGGGTTTCGACGTAGGCTTAGTCCACTACACTTATTACCTGAACCCCTCACTCACTGCTTATTGAATTAAGAAAGCTCCACGGATGAGGAGCGAAACATCTTCTGTTACAAATAAAATCCAGTTTTTTTTATATTGAACATTTTTTGAATCTCTTACATGGTTGTGGAGGAATTCTGGACCACTCTTTCCAGCATTGCTTCAGTTCATTGACGTTTGCAGATATTTGTGTCTGCTCAGCTCTCTGAAGGTTCCACCACAGCTTTCAAATCAGCTCTGGACTTTCACTGAATCATCCAGCACATTCATTCTCCTCTTTTTCAACCATTCTGTTGTAGATTTTCTGCCTTGTTCGAGATCTTTGCTCAGCTTCAGATGTTGGACTTTAGAGTCCTTTGGTAGACAGAAGAGTTCAGCCGATGGCAAGAAGTCTAGATCCTGCTGCAAAACAAGCACGAAACATCAAATTTTTCATTTTGACTTTAATTAAATAACATGTTGGAAGTGAATGTGTTTTTGTACAGTTGAGGTTAGATTTAAATAGTTTTAGAACCCGAACAGTTGTCAGAACATTACAAAAGGTGTTCCTCAAGGATCTACTTTTGTACACCTTAGATTAAAACATGAGGCAGAATGTCTCAGATGCACTTATCCATCTTAATGCTGATGATACAGTTGTTTACTGTCATGCTTTTGTCCTAGATTTTTTGACATTATTCAGTCATATTTGGTACTAAATGCTCCGCACAGAGGGCTGTGGTAGCTCGGTGGTCTGTGGTTGTGTCAGGAAGGGCTTCTGGCGTAAAATCAACTGCCAAGTCTTCGTGCAAGTCAGTTCGCTGTGGCAACCCCTGAAGAAGAGAGCAGCTAAATTGGTACTAAATGCTGCCAAAACTAAAAGATTGCTCTCACTTGATATAAACTGGATGAAAAAGAAGGAAAAACAAATAAATAAAATGTTTTTGCATATCTCTGCTTTCCTAAATCAGGAGCTCGTGCAGTTTTTTCATCACAAACTTGGCCGCAGTGTGTGCTGGGAGGACAGAATGGAGTTCATTAATGGCTGGTACATCCTGCTCATCATCAGCGACTTGTTCACCATCGTTGGCAGCTTCATCAAAATTGGGATAGAGTCCAAGGTAGTTTCCACTTCCTGTTTTTCTCGTTAATAAACTGGAAAAATTTTGCCGCACTGTAAAAACCCTTGTGTGATTAACTGTGTCGTCCTTGTGTTGAAGACGTTATCATCATATGACGTTTGCGGGATTCTGTTGGGAACCTCGACTCTGCTGGTGTGGGTGGGAGTCATCCGCTACTTCAGTTTCTTTCAGAAATACAATGTATGTAAAACTTTGACTCTTGAGTATTTTAAATACGTGTAAAAATTGACTGATGTCTGTTGTCCAAAAAAAGAAAAACAAAACAACTGGACTTCTGTTCTGAAGTTGAAGATGATACTTCCCTAATGAGTAGCTTAATTGTTAAGAAAGCTACACAGATAGGAAGCAAAGCGTTGTCCAGTTGTTTTGTTATTTTGTTTATTTTTTATTTACCGTGTCCTGGATGACACACCATTCCACTGAGTTTGCTTCTTTTTCTTATTGCTACAGATCTTGATTGTGACTCTGAGAGCTGCGTTTCCTAACGTCATCCGGTTCTGCTGCTGCGCAGCTGCTATTTATTTTGGTTATTGCTTCTGTGGGTGGATTGTGCTCGGACCCTATCATACTAAGGTACACACACTCTGCTGTAGCTTTACACAGAAACTAGCCACTAAAATCATGTGTACCTGTCAGCACCGCCTAATCAATTCAGTTTATTAGAATTAAGACAATGGACCTATGCAAAATACATCTGAATAATCAAGTTAAATTGAAAAAAAATGTCCTAAATAATTTTAAAAATGTGTAAAGTGATGCAAAATGTAGGAATAGCTGAAAGTCATTCCCAACTAGACCTGGTGTATTCGTTTCACTGTATAAGTTCGATTTATTTTGAATAATAGACTTAATTGAGGTGATTCGGGCATCTGGTAAGGATGCTCCCTGGGTGAGGCCTCCCTAGGGAGGTGCTTCAGGCATGTCCGACTTGGAGGAGACCCCGAGGAAGACCCAGTATACGCTGGAGAGACTGTCTCTCGGTTGGCCTGGGAGCACCTTGGAGTCCTCCCAGAAGAGCTGGAAGAGGTGGCTGTGGAAAGAGATGTCTGGACCTCCCTGCTCAAGGTGCTGCCTCCGCGACCCACTTTGGAATTAATGGATGATGGACTTAATTGATTAACAAACAAATAGCTTACAAAAAATCAAACAAAAAACCCTCAATTGTGCACAAAAAAGTAACCAAAAAGTTATCTGACGTTAAATGTAGGTTTTGTGTGTTAAACTTGTGTAAATGTGTATAAATGACCCACCTAAGCCCACTAAAAAAAAGCCACCTCAGAATTGTGAGTTCTGAAAGCCAGTCCTGAGCTTTTATCCAATCATATTTCAACCATCATGTGTTGCTAGGGTTAAATAAATCTGCCCAGAGGCCTTCAGAATCAACAGTGCAGACACCTGCAGGTTTAAACAAATGGCAATGAAACTGCTCCTTTGACCAATCAGATGTTGAGCTGGTGACACCAGGACCTTCTAGCAGACATTCTGTTGTTTGATTGGACGGTCATCGAGCGAACTGTCAGAGCTAGGAACTATCTATCCTCTACAAGCTAAATGTCGAGCGGACATTCTCAGCCCTAAAGTGAAATTTTCATTCAACCTTTATGTATACAGGTTAGTCTGATTGAGTCACGAGGACTCGTTTACAAGAGAGAGACCTGTAACTGAATTAAAACTTTTAGTGTTAGCTTCCACGGCGTTAGAAAGGACTTACTGTTGAAACAGAAACCCTATAATGACCTGTAGGACAGAGGAACTGAACTCTTCTTGAGGAAAGAAAGGAGGATGGGGTTTGAGTACAGATAATCAAGACTTTTGGTGAGTAAAATGCATTTTATTCAAATTGTTAATAAATGTTTGTCAATTTAGTGAATATTAATGATTTTGGTAAATATGTAAAAATATATGCTGTGGCTACATCCATCCATTATATTTACCCGCTTCTTCCTTTTTGGATCGTGGGGGTCACTAGTGCCCATATCCAGCAATCACTGTGCAAGACATGGGGTACACCCTGGACAGGTCTCCAGTCCATCACGTGGACACATAGAGACAAATGAGACAAACAACCATTCACTCTCTCACTCACACCTAGAGACAATTTAGAGTTACCAATCAGCCTAACATGCATGTTTTTGGGCTGTGGGAGGAAACTGGAGTACACAGAGAAAACCCACACATGCACGGAGAGAACATGCAAACTCCACCCAGAGATGTCCCCGGACCGGGATTTGTACCAGGGTGACCTGTTTGCTGAGAGGCGGCAGCTCTACCAACTGTGCCACCGTGCTGCCAGTTAAAGGAAACATTTTAAATTGTGTTAATTGGGTTTCTTACTTGAGTAATGGCATTTGTTATCACTGCATGAGATACCTGTATGTGATGCAGCATCGTATTATACTGTTTCTGTGTATAATTAATGGTTTCTGAAGCCATGGCGTCATAATGATGCTATTAAGAGGTGGATAAATTCAGGAAGACCACTGCTGAAGGCCTAGGTGTGAAATGCATGGCCCGCCATTGCAAAAGGGTAAACACTTCTGCAACTCACTGTTTATTTTGTTGCTTGTAAGTTATTTGTTCTCACAAAGTACAGCTTTTCAAACAAGAGTACCGCAAACGGCACTTTAGGTGCTCGTCGACAAACTTTTATTCAGCCATACAGCAATGTATAGCATTGGCCTGGACAAACAAATACCTTGTTGTTGACCTTTATTTGTGACCTTGACCTTAGAGCTGGAAATATGAAATGTGTATGTGACACTGTTTAGGGATGGTGCATATTTGTGTCAAATTTCATTCAGTTCTCTTGAGTGGATCAGATGTTATCCCACAGAAAAATCAAATACCTTGTTTAATTTTTGGCCTTGATTTATGACCTTGACTTTGAAGTTGGGGTGATGAAAATTATACATGACACTCTGTCTAGTGGTGTTACAAATGTGTATCAAGTTTAGTTAAATTATCTTGTGCGGATCAAAAGTTATGAGCAGGACTAGAAAAAATTTACGTATGTATGCTGACGATACCATAATCTATGTGTATAAAACCACTTAAATCTAAATATAATGTAAATAAATCAATCAATCAACACAACATCACAAAATCTAGTCTGGAAAGTTTTCTGGTTTGCTTGTGTCCAGTTTCGCTCCCTGTCCATGGTGTCGGAGTGCCTGTTTTCTCTCATCAACGGGGACGACATGTTCGTAACGTTTGCTGAGATGGAGCACAGCAGCCCACTGGTGTGGATCTTCAGCCAGGTCTACCTCTACACCTTCATCTCCCTCTTCATCTACATGGTGCTGTCGCTCTTCATCGCCCTTATCACCGGAGCCTACGACACCATCATGGTATGGTCATCCGTTTTGGTTTTGTTTTGTTTTGAGCCACACTAATGGCTTGAGATGTGCCATAGAAACAGTAAATGTTGATACCTGGCCGTCGGGTCATGTACTGTTTTTCAAACTCAACCGTTTGTGTTTTATCTAATCTTCGCTTTGTACTCCAGCAGGCCCAAACACAGGAGCAGGTCCACATCACAGACCTGCACGCGTTCATCGCACAGTGCACCGACACGCCCAGTTCTGGCAAGTTCCGTGGCCCCGAAGGCTCGTCGGGCTCTTACCTCTGCTGCTGCAAGTAGTGAGGAAGAGGAGGACATAATGGATTCATAAAGGGAGTAAGCAGCATGAGTGTGAAAGAGCAAGATTCTCTAGGTTTGTTTTTTGTCCTCTATCTTCAAAGCCCCACATTTCCGCTCCAGTGACGGCTGATGGAAATTGCTCTCCTTTCTACGGTCTCTCAGCAGGGAAGATAAAGACTTGGAGAATGAAGCGACTGACCTTGGGCCATTTTGTCCTCTGGTGACCGCATTTAAATTTTGCATTTGAATTTGTGCTGGGACGATAGATTGCACTGCACTGTCTCAAGCCCAATTATCGGCATGGGCTTTTGTACTGAATGAATAATTTATTGTCAGAACTTAGACGCACAATGCCAGTAAACATTATCACTCTAAACTGAACGCAAGGTCAACAAAGTATGAAGGCAACTTTTCTTTTATATAATTTATTTTGTACAGGGTTTTTTTCCTGATTAGATTTTTAAGTGGTTAAAATTAGTTGTTGCCTCTTGGTTTGTAAATATTCTACGAATTGTGGATGTCATAGTAGAAAAGGCACAATAATCAGCCAGGCAAGGTTAAATAATAATAATGATTACTTCCTTTTTTAAATGCATTAGATTCTGAACACATTTGTACTCAGTGGGGCTCCTCCACTTCAGTTTAATTTGCTCTGTCCTCATCTGTTTTGTTCACATCCTCCTCGGTGACTCTCAGGAGATGATGTCTGTACGAGGGAAGAACGAGCCCTGAGACCGACCAGTCAGTCATCACAATGTATGAAGTGTTGCTGCCATAAAGAGCTAGCTGATTGGACTCTAATGCACTGCAAGATAGTGCATTTTAGCAGAAAACTGCTTTAAAACAAAATAATTTGGTATGTCCAGACAAATTTAAGGGAAGTAAAAGTACAGTATACCCCCTTGTAAAATGGTGAAGATTAATGAAGACCAAGGCCCAGCAAAGCAGAGGATTGTTGGCTACGCTAACCGCTTTCAACCTGTTTATTAAAATAAACTAATTTCATTGTAATGTAACCCTTTTTTAAAGATGTTTTTCTTCTAATATAAATGCATTGCCCCATTTTAATAATACTCATTATGTAACAAGGTAAATCACTAAGACACTTGATATCACAGTAGATTTAGTCTTTCAGAGACAAATGCCAGTTCGATTTGTTTAAGCTAACTTACTAAAGTAGCAATGCTAACTTCTTTAACCCGTGTTAGTTTTCTTAATAAATTTGTGAGTCCATTCTAATGTAACGCCAAGTATATTATTTGAGTTGTACAACGTGCTCAGTGGCTTTCAGAGACCTAAGAAGTTTTTAGTTCAAACTAACTTGCTAGTGTTGCATTAGCTAGCATTAGCTAGCTGGTACTTCAGTTACCGCTTGCTTTTTAACGTTAATCTTTACATGTTTCATAGTCCAAAACAACTAAAACTATACGATAATGTTGTTACGATACTTTTTGAACTCAGTCATGGAAAAAAATTGTAGCCTATGTATTTTGTTGAGGGGGCAGCATGGTGGTGCAGTTGGTAGAGCTGCTGCCTCTCAGCGAGCAGGTTGCCAGTTCAAATCCCGGCCAGGGGCCTTTATGCGTGGAGTTTGCATGTTCTCTTCGTTCATTCGTGGGTTTTCTCCGGGTACTCCGGTTTCCTCCAACAAACCAAGAACATTCATGTTAGACTGATTGGTAACTCTAAATTGTCTCTAGGTGTGAGTGAGAGAGTGAATGGTTGTTTGTCTCGTTTGTCTCTATGTGTCTCTGTGATGGACTGGAGACCTGTCCAGGGTGTCCCCCGCCTCTCACACAGTGATGGCTGGACATGGGCACTGGCGACCCCCGCGACCCAAAAAGGAAGAAGCGGGTAAAGATAATGGATGGATGAATATTTTGTTGACTTATATTGTATGTAGGTCTACTGTAAGCAGCTTTAAAAGTACACACTGTCTTTGTTTGTTTGTTTGTTTGTTTAGTTGTTTGTTTTTTTGTCACACTTGTAAAAATGTTGACACTGAGCAATTTGGGAAATAATTACAGCCAGTAGTTTAATGTGTATATTAGTTTGTTCATTTCTACCAACCAGCACTTCTCTGTGACACTTTTAGGGAACAATAATTTGTGGAAGCATATTAAAATCTAAAATATGATTTCAACTTTTCTTTGTAAAATTTTATGACATTAATGTTTTTTGTACCACTGTTGATTTTTTTTTAATTTTTTTTTTTGGCACTTTACTATTTGCAATCATAAAAAGTTAAAACATGTATTTATTTATTTTTCTTATTATTTATTTATTTGAACCCTTTTATATGCTGTTATAGAGTTTCATTTTATTTAAATGTGGAGCCAAGGAGTTGAACATAATCTGCTAATTTTCTCCATGACTTTACAGGATGGTTGATCAGTGTTGACATGAATTAATCAAACCAGTTACTATTTGCTGTTAGTTTACTTGACGGTTTGTTGTTTTCATCATTTTTGCATCATGTTGACCAAGTCTTTTGTTTGTTTAGGTTTTCACCTTATTTTCTGTACAAATGTCTGAATAATGATCACACACTTCAATTAAATAAACTGGAAATACTCTTACCTGGGCCAGCAGGGCTTTTCATTTATTTTAAGGGATATTCTGGTTATTTTGAAGGGGTGCAGTAGTTGGGTGATGGGTTCCTATAGTTGCATGCCTCCACTTGTTAGGTGGTTCGTTCACATGTGATTTATTTTACAACCACTAGAGGGGGGGGAACATGTTCTCTGCTGCCATTAGGAAACCTTTACAGGAAATTAACACAATGGAACTTAACAGAAATGACTTGAAGGAAATAAAACACTGACTTTGAGCAAGCTGGGTAAAATATCATCAGCATTAAAGAGGAACAAAGCCATGCTAAAGCACTTAACCTTGAAGTCCACCATTATCCCGCCCTCGACTCAGCACGAGGTAAGGGGAAGCTGGGGCTGCCTCGGTCAGCTGGAGAAAACTCAGACTTGTGCAGGTGAACACAAATAAAGAGCACAGAGATGTACACACCACCTCTGGGGTGTGTCTGGTATTCCTGTCCAGCATGCTCAGTACCTGCATGCATTATTTACTGAGTGATGCCATCAGAGCTGACAGGAGCACCTAAGGTGACTGGCCTAACCTGGATGTCATCAGGTTTCAGGCAAAACACCTCTATGGAAAGAAAAACAACAAGAAGGACAACCTGTTTTTGGACCTTATCAGCCCCCAAACCAGATTTATTATCTACATTTACATCATTATCATAACATTCAGTAAGGATGACATTTGACCCATATAGCGCTGAAGGACATGCCCGTGTGCAAGCTTCTGTCCCATTAACGAGGTTCTTGTTGCCTTCTTTATTCACAGGTTGCTTGTCGGGGAGTGTAGAAGCATCCTGCATGCTAATGACATGCAGCGTTGGCAGGCTGTGTTCATCGGGGAGTCCATGTTGTGTTCAGAGAGCAGCAGCTGCACTGACGTGTGCAAACCTGCACCAACCTGGTATTCACACACATCTTTTCTAATATCTAACGATATTCTAGTCATTGGAGCGTGAAACGACACTCCTGCTGATGCCTCAGTGATAATGAGCCTCTGTGTCTGACGTGATGGGTGTGTCCGTGTGCAATCTGACTCCTTCATGCTAGAATCAAAAGAAACACAAGGAGAGCACACCTGCATCTCCTGCTGGTTCTATAGCTAACTGAAGGCCCAGGTGTCAAGAGGTGACTGAGTGTCAACACCCCTGTTTTTCTGTTTTGGTGCCATGACAGTCCCAGCTGGACTGCGTGCAGTGCAGATAACAACAATGGGATAAATAACAGAGGAACTGTGCACCGGGGTACACTGCCCTGCCCCTTCCTGTCTCTGCTGCCACTAACCACCGCCTGCGTGGAAAAAACCCCACCTTCCTCTCTTTGTTGTACCCAGTTGACCGTGCCAATATGTCCATCAACCTCCAGTCAGGAGGCACTGAACGCCTCAGATCACACCCTCTTCCTTCTCTCACACACACTCAATGAATGCAATGTTCACACACACCTACAGTCTGCGGGTGTCACTCTAACCTCGATACGGTCTGCATGAAGCACATGATTAGAGCTGCTTGTATTTCTGTGGCTGTAACTTAACCTCCAGTTATTATTCAGCTAAACAAATTGCATTATTCAGGGACTGATTACACTCAACAACAGCATGAAGGTGCTAATTAAGGGTGCCAGAGCAGAAACAGGAGCGTATTACTATTCCCCTGATATTCTTCTGTTTCTGTCACCATCTTTGAGTCACTATCCTTTTGTAGTTTTGGTGAAACTCAGAAATTTAGATTAAAACGTGCGGCTCAATCTGGAATTTAGTGGTTTGACTTGATAGCAGTAAATCGTATACCGGTAGGTATTATTTGCACAAAAAATTAATTCTACAATACAATAGTATTGTGGCAAAATATGTTAAAGCAAGCGGTACAACTATGTCTCCTGTCGCTGAGGGATTTGAACAGTGAATGTTTGTAGTTTTCTAGATATGTGTTTTTATGTACTGGATTTTGACATGGCAGCCACATAGGGAACTTTCTTATGCCTAGAGACACGCAAAAATGGAAGTTGGTGCGTTTACATGGTTTTAAATATTGACCCCAAGTTAGCAGACTGAGGAAGAGGCAGAGTCAGACGTACAAAAGGTAAGTGATTTTATTTACAGGCGCAGATATTTACAGTCTGGAAGGGAAGAAAAGGAACAAGGTGAGTATCTTGTAGATTGGCAGGTTGTTTGAATAATGAATGCTAGTTTTGAGGATGATCTCTGCTTACAAATGTTTGTGTTGTAGGCTGAGCTGGAGAGCAGGGAGAGAACGAAGTCCTATAGGTTTCCGGAGAAGGTGAGTGGCGTTGGAGAGAGGATCAGTTGTGAGGTGCTCGGTGGTGTTCTGATCCAGGTCGATGTTTGATGATTACACGATGATACCAGGACGAAGTCACAGAGGACAAAGGAGGTCTTGGAAGACTCGAGGACGCAGGACTTGGAAGTCACTGGAGAAAAGTACAAAAGCTAGTTAAACTGTTTGGAAACAGGTTTGCCGGCTGTCCATTATTTTACCATAAGGTATCATAATGTTCCAGCGTCGGAAGAACGTCTGGCAGGAGCTTAGTCCACAGAGTAGTCGTCCAGATCAGGTGCAGGTGTGGAGTGGTGGCTGATTGCAATGAGCTGTGGAGGAAGTGATTGTGGCTGGAAACCTAGGAATCCCACAGCGTTGCTTATTTTTCAAGCTATCATGCTCACAACATGACATCGTTTAAAAGATGGAAGTCACATGACTGAACTCTTATTTTGATATACATATATTTGACCAAATTTGTCACAATTGCAGTTTTGGGTTTACGAATGTGCAAATTGGACCTCATG